AAACGAGGCATTTGTTGCATCCAGTGGGGACATAATTACTGATTATAATGACTTATACTGTCTTTTTACATGTTGCGTTGCGTATCGTGCTGTATAAACATAAAATCATGTCTACATTTGTGATCGGAGAAATGACAAACAACAAGCGCTACTCTACACTGCTCAAAACTCGCATTTGAATCATCAGTGGCAAATTCTTTAAATATGAAAACAGACTTACAGGCTGTGAGTCATGAAGTGCCAGACTGTCCTTGCAAAGTTGGAATTTCCCCACTTTATAGAAACAGACACCGGCATTGTAGGCTACTCTCCCAGGAAACAGTCCTCGTCCTCCATAAAATGCACTGCACACATCTGAATATTTGGGTTGAACTCTTCCGGAACAGTGTTGTAAATACAACTTAACCACCGATTTCTAGTTGTGTCCTCTTTTGGAAGACCAAACAAAGTAGTTTTGCTTTCATAACGAAACACACAGTGTCTCCACAACATGGCGGCAGCAACAATACTACAGTGAGAATTTACACATCATCATCCTGTTCAAAAGTTTACACCCCTTAATGCATTGTGTTGCCTTGAGCATCAGTAAATGTTTCCATCTTTTGTAATAGTTGTGTATGAGTCCCGCAGTTGTCCTCAGTGTGGAACTATGGATATAAAAATCATACAGTCACTTTTGGAAAGGGTTCAAATATGCAGAAGATGCTGGAAAACCAAAGAATGTGCAGGAGCTGGAGGATTTTTCTGAAGAACAGCAGGCAGTTGAACTGCTCAGGACCAAAAATAAACTCATGAAACACTATCACAACACAGAAAAATCGTGGATCATTCAGGAAACGACACCTAGTATTAAGATTCAAGGGTATGTAAACTTTTGAATGGGGTCATTTTTATGTAAACATCTGTTATGTGAAATAGCTTAGTCAGGACAGTACTAAATACATTTTCATGATCCCTCTTATTTTGTAAACTTATGAGCACAACTGCAAATAGTAAAAATATATAAGTGGCTGATGTAAGACAATGTTGTGAACTTTTAAAAGGAAAGAGACTTAGACATTGCTTTGTACAATTTATTAAATAATTGATCTCATTATAGACCTGACATCATTCAATTGCTTTCTGAGTTTTACAACAGTCAATCACTGTTTGTGGAGGCCAAAAGAAAGAATGAGTGTGGTACATGAAGTCCTACCAATTTTTCGCCCTTTTTTTTGTCCCTAGTGGAGAAGCTCTGAAACTCACTACTTTACACTGCATGTTGGTCAATCCTGTTTTGGCTTTATTTATAACTATTTTTGTCAACAAAAATTCCTCAATATTAACATGTTGTTCATTGGACTGTTCTGTTGTGTAAAATATCACAGTTGTGATGTTGGCCTTAATATCACTACATGTAATTATTCAGTCTAGAATTACTTCCGAAAAGTCTACCCGTCATATGTATCTCTGAAAATGAAAAAAAGGAGTCTAAAATGTTGGGCTGGTGGTATAGAACTAAGAGACAGAAGCAAACTCTGCTGCTCTTTGCCACAGAAAATAATGTGGTAGGCCAAAGAAGACCACTACAAAACCTAGCTAACTAGAAAAATCTCTCATGTGATGAGAAAACACAGGCGATGAGAACAGGTGTTATAACTCATGGATGAGTCAGTATGTAATATCAAGTACAAACTTAAGGGAAAATAGTATTGATACTGTGCATTTCAGGGATACTGTTAAATAATACTAAACATTTACTATTACATAAATTTGAAGAAAGTACACAAACAAGCAAGGCTGGCATGTGAGTTTACAGAACCCTCGGCTAGATTGTAAAAATGGGCTCTACTACTGTAAAAAATGTAAATATTCATATAGTAAACGTATCAGCAAATCATCTTGCAGTGGCAAAGAAACGGCTTTCCTTTACTGCAGTGTCTCCCTTTGAGAACACAAATGAAGACAGAGATAGCTAGAAAAACAAGGATAATTAATCAGAAATGTTTTGTTCTGCTTTCATACTTTATGATCAATTTTGAGAAAATTCTCTTACATAAGCAGAGAATAAGCTGCATTCTTTTTCGGGCCTCCATCTTATGAAGCACTTTTTGTGGCTGGATTTCAGAACAGTCTAACAGCAACCTCTACTGGACATTTGAACACAAAGGCCAGGGCCCATAAAATTAACAGTACAACATGAGGAAATTATGATTTATTGACATGATCATTTTGACAGTTTGGTTTATTCAAATGAAAGAGATTCATTCATTGACATTTTTTGAAGCATTAGTTTATTTTTAAGTTACATGCTGATCTGACCGGTCATATGAACACTTCTCATTTTGTCCAGAGAACATTAGACATGCACTTCAATCAAAAGCTTTCCAAAGGCTCAAGTTAAGTAAATTACTGAATGATACAGCTCTGTCCCGCAATTTAAAAACATCAAGATAATAATGACAATAATAAAAAGGCACTTATGGCAAGTGTTAAAGTCATGATGAAATGTTAGTAGCAGATCTTTTCTTCCATATGTTGATGCACATCTGAGTGAAATGGATTATAGAAAAAGCAAAAAATAATAATAATAATAATCAAATGTAGGATGGGAACTACGGATGGGGGTCTGCATTCACAAATGAATTGTTCACACTAACGTCTATAAAAAATACATAGTGTAAGTTTTAATTTCATGCTTTAGCTTTTGGTGGTCCTTTCTGTATTTCTCTTGTGTTTCCTGGCTTGTTTTTCCGCAGCGGCAACCTCACTTGTAATTGTTGTAATCTGGCAAAAAAAAAAAAAAAAAAATCAAATGTAGGATGGGAACTACGGATGGGGGTCTGCATTCACAAATGAATTGTTCACACTAACGTCTATAAAAAATACATAGTGTAAGTTTTAATTTCATGATTTAGCTTTTGGTGGTCCTTTCTGTATTTCTCTTGTGTTTCCTGGCTTGTTTTTCCGCAGCGGCAACCTCACTTGTAATTGTTGTAATCTGGCAAAAAAAAATAATAATTTAAATGTATATTTCTTGACTTAATAAACAGAAACTTACAAAATGTCAGTGTGAAAAATAGAAGTTGTCACTAAGGTGTGTATTGCTAGCTACTGTAGATCTAAATCTCTAGAGTCACAGATACACTTTACCTCAGTGAAGTAACTTAATAGTAACTGTACCTCATTATTGGCATGATCAATTATTTGGATTTGATCTTCAATCTTGTTGCTCAAGTCTAGTGCCATGTTCTTTAAAACTTCAACGTGGTTGACCACCTGACTTAGATTCTCTTCCATCTCATCTTCTCGATCATCATTTGTTATTCTTACAGAAACAAAACAAGCATCACTTGAATTTCAAGCAAAGACCTTTAAGGTCAAATCTATAAATCTCTAGAGTCACAGATACACTTTACCTCAGTGAAGTAACTTAATAGTAACTGTACCTCATTATTGGCATGATCAATTATTTGGATTTGATCTTCAATCTTGTTGCTCAAGTCTAGTGCCATGTTCTTTAAAATTTCAATGTGGTTGACCACCTGACTTAGATTCTCTTCCATCTCATCTTCTCGATCATCATTTGTTATTCTTACAGAAAGAAAACAAGCATCACTTGAATTTCAAGCTAAGACCTTTAAGGTCAAATCTATTATATATATACACACACACACACACACATACACATACACATACACATACACACACACACACATACACATACATACATACATACATACATATACAATTAATAGCTTATGCCATAAGCATAACACAAATCTCCAGCTAACTTCATCATATGAACAGACAGTCACATTGGATCACTATGAGAGCTGTATTCTGTTACTCTCAGTGCTATTTTCCCTTCACCTCTTGATGTAGGGGCCAGTGGGGGCCGTTGACCCAGCAGAAACAGCCTGCCCATTGCGAACGGCAGTCGGTTGGCTGGATACCACCTTCTGCTTGCTTTCCTTTGGTTCCCTGACCTGCTTTTTTCTCCAATCACTCTCGGTGGACTTCAGTCTATAAAACAATCCATTCAAATCCAAAGAAATACATCAAATATAAGCACTGAGGTGAAAACCTTAAACTAAATGTGCCAATTTAGTTTATTTTCCCTACTAAAAAGGTCAGACTAGATGGCCAAGTTGGTTTGTGCTGGTTAATGTTGTTTTAAGGCTGAACTAGGCAAACTATTTCAGATATATAACTCATTGTCATACAGATGAGACTCTATGCTCTAGCCAACCTGTTACATGGGCACAAACACAAGCCGCAGCATTTGGACAGTTCATTCAGGTTTTTTCGAGCTTGTTTCATGTCCTGCTTGATCTGGTCCATTTCCCGTTCCACATTCTTTAGTGTTTCTAAAATAAAGAAGAAGAAAAAGTGTGTGGCAATCACATTAGCAAAATTTCTTCTAAATTTCACAGGCAAAAAAGTCTATAGTATAGTATATTATCAGTGTTGGGGGGTAATTACGTAATTTAATTACAAAGTAATTGTAACTGTAATCAGTTAAAATTACTGAGAAAAAATGTGTAATTAAATTACAGTTACTTATGAAAATGTTAATGATTACAAAGGGGGTTAGATCTGAATATTTTCACACACATAGATTTGATTGATTTCCAAATTGCATTGACTGCATGAGACATCAATGTTTCAGGAGTTTAGAACACAGAATAGGACACGCATGCTTATTCGATAACTGTTTTATTTCCAGTTTGGGTTTATGTATATACTTTATTTTTGTAATATTTAACTGTTTTTTCCAAGGCATTGTTAGATTCCAGTGTTTACTGTCTATGCAAAGATTTGATTTCAAAAACAGCATCATAGCTATTAAACTAGGCTATATCTTATGATTTGAAATCTGTATTTAACCTCAGAATGATCTCAGAGTAAGTCAGATTTTGTGGCTGTGCTTTAAAATTAAAATATTATCTTAATTCAAGTGACGAAGGATTTTGAAAGTGTACTGTAAAGTAGAGGTCTGCATTGCCGCGGGAACCGACCAGATTTTTTTGCGCCGCAAAATTCCCGATTAAAACGCGGTAGCGGTCGGTAACTCTGGTGTAATTTGAACGGGAGCGGGCGGTCTAACAATATCCCGTTCCCGACCTCCATTCAGAACAGCATATCTGCGTTGAATTTTCAAACTGGTAACACTTTGCAGTTTCGAATTATGCCTTTACTGTATGACCAAAAATTACGGAGTAGCCTATTTAATGTTTCAGCTGTTTGATCGCGCCGGCGCCTCACGCGCACACCAAGCTACTGCATTCATTGGAAACAGCGCATCCGTTCACCGTGCTGTTCGGCGCGAGACCCGCTCCGGAGCTGTAGAGAGAGAGAGAACTATTTGAGGTCTAGGTGAATCACGTGACGATCGAGCGTTTGACACAACTCTCTCTTTCCATGGCTCTGACCCGGTCCACTGTGGCATATTTTTGCTCATTATGATATTTTTCCGTCGAAACTGGAACGCGCGTGAACTACAAAGCCTATTTGACCTAATAAGGCTAATAGTTTAGCTTCAGCTACATCATGAATATGGACACATTTGGATTTGTGCCTGAGAGAAGTAAGCCCAACTTTACCTTACGTTTCTTTATAAATTAATTTGTTTTGGCATGTTTATTGCTAAGCATATATTATTATATACAGTAATTATATTTATCCATTAGAATTATATATTTCTAAATTCTTATTCTGTTCTGATACGGTTACATTTAAAGGATTTGTTGTAAAGTGAGGGGAA